TCAAAATGAAAGTTAAATACTCATAAGTACACTAGTCAACATACTCTTCTACATACGCATGCATACACAATTCAACTTTGAGTACATAAATCCATGTGAGCCATGACACTCTTAAATCCTTTAACACTAAAAATTGTCTTGTTGGGGAGTATATTTCTATCTTTTAACAATACAAGAATTATTTTTCCTTTTTTGGTGCATGAAATCAAATCTATTCAACAATCAGACAAGTATTTCCATGCGTGTAACTTAATTCCTTCAAAAATTCTGTGAATTTGTAAGTTTACTCTTCCTATGTTGTCAGAAATACAAGAAAATTGCATCATAGGCATAATTTCACAAGATAACTTTTACATAATGGTGCCTTTTATTATTGATTGTCTTGCATGATACAAAAAATGTCACATTGTAAAAAAACTTGAGTATCAATTCTACATTTTTTGAATAATTTAAAAGTTTCCTTGTCCTAAATACAATAAACAAACTTTTGCATTCTACCAAAGTATGGGACTGAAAGGAAGGCATATAATCATCTACTAAATAAACTACCTAAAGCCACTATAAAAGCTATAACCCCTTGCCTGCACAGATTTACTATTGGTTTTCAGACACATGCTTAGAACAGAAAAATGAGACAATTCAGCAGACCTGGAAAAGGAGTACAATATGTGAAGAAGAGGTGAAGAGTTAGTAGAATTAAAACACTTTACACAAGTCACATGAAATATATCTGCAGAGAAATACGGACAACTATATCAATATGTACACACCAGCAGTCAGTAGTGATTAAGCTCAGAAAACAAACTGAAAGTCAACCTACCCTTCATCTGGCAATAGACTGTTCATGAGACATTACATTGAATATGAAATGGGCTGTTCCATTATAAATCAAAGGGTTTAAGTAGACTAACTGCATTAGCCTTGGTGTAGGCTGGTGATGATGAAGTTTTGTTTAGAAGCTGACGAGGATGGAATGACAAGAGATGTCAGGGTTGTAGCAGGTTTCTTTCCTGCTTTAGAACTGCTCTCTGTAAATTTGCCTGTTTCAATCAAAGTAACACACATACCTTGTTTATTTTATACAAAATTATATGCGAACTGCAGAGTTTGTATATATAAGTAAATTACGAGAAGTGTATATATTTCCATTCGAAGGAAACAATTTGAAGCACATATGTACATACCCTTTAAACATAAGTAGCATGGATATTGCTATGAATCAGGCAACCTTTGATAAATGAATTTAACCTTGGTTTATGAATAAAAACCTTGTGGCATGGTCCATTGCTATATTGGGAAAGTAGAAGGTCACATTTCCCAGATACTCTACTGACATAGATGAATTTCAATGGTAAAAACAAAGGGGAAATTTTGTATGAATTATTTCGAATTAGAAATTTGACCATATGAGATGGAAATGTTCACACAATTCAATAATTTCACTCTAATCATCTACAATAAATGTTCTGATGAAGAAGTTGGAATAAGATAGGATTCAAACTCTTGTATTTATGTTTACAAATTGATTTACAATACTGCCCCATCTTATATTGCTGATGCTATTATTGACACTATGGTCCCTCACTTGGTCTTTTTTTCTTTAAAGAACACTACTAGACTTGTTATTCCCAGTTTAAATCTTTCCCCTAACAAAAGAATCCTCTATTGTACTGCCTTAGAACTTAGAAAATGTCAAATGCTCAATAAAAGCAAGATTCCGGGTACATTATACCCACCTGACCCTAACCTTTACTTACTGATTGAAGGAAGGACACTTGTCATATACCTAGTTAGTAAAACCTGTGATACATTCCTTGAGCATAGCACATTACATAGCACCATTACTCACTGATTGAAGGAAGGACGCTTGTCATATACCTACTTAGTAAAACCTGTGATACATTCCTTGAGCATAGCACATTACATAGCACCATTACTCACTGATTGAAGGAAGGACGCTTGTCATATACCTAGTAGTATAAACTGTGATACATTCCTTGTGATAGTACATCACATAGAACCATTACTCACTGATTGAAGGAAGGACGCTTGTCATATACCTAGTTAGTATAAACTGTGATACATTCCTTGTGATAGTACATCACATAGAACCATTACTCACTGATTGAAGGAAGGACGCTTGTCATATACCTAGTTAGTATAAACTGTGATACATTCCTTGTGATAGTACATCACATAGAACCATTACTCACTGATTGAAGGAAGGACGCTTGTCATATACCTAGTTAGTATAAACTGTGATACATTCCTTGTGATAGTACATCACATAGAACCATTACTCACTGATTGAAGGAAGGACGCTTGTCATATACCTAGTTAGTATAAACTGTGATACATTCCTTGTGATAGTACATCACATAGAACCATTACTTACTGATTGAAGGAAGGACGCTTGGTACCCTAGGAATGGTGACAGCAGCAGTCTTTGGGCTTCCTGGAATGGAGCAAAGTCCTCCTCCTCCTCCTCATCAATCTTTGTGCCTTCTTGGTGGGGTTGTGTTGATGGTGGCTGATGAGAAGCAGGTTGTTGGGCAGCAGTGGGGTTGAGCTGGGGGATAGGTGCTTCTGGTAGGCTGCACAGAGCTGCAATAGATACCTCCTGGCCTCTCTGATGAATGGAAGCAAGCAATAGCAGGCATACATGTATGAGGAGGTTAGAGGATAATGGGTTCTAAAAGCACTGTACAAAGTTTATATAATATACGTCTTTAAACAGAGAGCAGGCAACTTTTCATCGAAGAATTACAGACAGCATCTCAGATTTTCTGTGATGTTTTAACTTTTTTTGGTGCATTTGTTTGTAGCAGGATGTAACGTCCTCTTGAGCCAAAGAAACAGCGATGCCTCTCATAGCAGTCAATATATCTATCATATAGCCTCACACTCAGTAAACAAAGTAGCTAAAACATTGTTATTTTCAAGTTCCAAGCAGTCTTGAAGCATTTCAGTAACTTCTTTAACAGATATGAATGTATTTCATATGTGTGCTTTATGTACATTTTCTGAACATTACTGTAAAAATACTAGTAAAATAAATGGTTTGAAGTAGTATGATTGCTCATATTTGTCATCTTTTTCAATTAAATTTTAGAATAAGCAATCAGCTTTAACACAGGAGTTTGGTGAGCCCCAACTTGTCTGTTCCAGTGAGGAACCCCTGTATTAAAGTTTGTAATATCTGAATTGCTCCATGTGAAATATTATGACTACAAACCTGAGCATGAGCAATAAGAGCCAATCCCATGTAAAGCTCTTGAGCCACCAGCTGACCAGGAAGTGCGTAGTTGACCATTGACCAGATATGACCAAGCAAAGGACGGTCCAGTCCAGAGAGAAGGAGTATAGGGTATAGAAGGTTGGTTTGTATGGCTCCATCATTGGTAGATGCCTCGAGGACTTGATGATAGACCATTGGCAATGAGGACTCATTCTGAAGCCTGCAAGACAAACATTGATAAAAGATTCTTCTTGACAGAGGATGCATTGTACGACTGGCTTCTATAAATTTAAAGAGATAGTCTACCCCGATATAAAGTTGATTTTAGCACTAACAAAATAATTAATTTATGTTTCCTCTTACATAAATTTCCATCTTACATATGCCCTAGATATAAATCATTGCACATATTTTTTACACAACCATATGAAAGTATCTATTCCTTCATCAATGGAGACAGGATGGCTCAGTGGTAGAGCAGAGGTCTCATGATCCAAGATATGCTTTCTTTGTTGTAAGGTAAAATAAATCATTAATAAAGATTTCACACTTTGATTCTTCTTCCTCAAGTTTAAACTCACCAGTTTGGAAGTTGACCAGGATTTTGATGTTGCTGGAATGCAGGCAATGTTACAGGCTGCCCAACATCACTTTGGCCCATTCCTCCTTGGACAGCGGTTATGGGATTCTGCTGCCCTCCTTGGGCTGCAGAGGGAAGGGTGAAGAGTGTGGTCAAGTCTTCACTCTCCCGCTGCCATAACCTAGACTTGTTACTTGGTGTGAAGGTACTAACCGACTTATGCTGGATGGTTGTATGATCCTTGACTTCATTTAGTGATGGTTTCTGGTTGAATCGTTTACGCTGTTTCTGGGATTCAGAGAGATCTGTAGACTGCTTCATCATGTTCTCTAAGGATGACCCTGGTAATATGAACGGTATTTCAGGTTTTTATCATGAAATGAAAGGAAACAGTTGGGATTGCATATCATGTCCATTCAAATAAAAGGATATAATCATGAATTAAACGAAAATTTTCAGAAAGGTCTGAAGGTACAATTATATCATTAGCATTTTTGTCCAACTTAAAACATGTAATATGAACTGAAACATATTTTTCACATTGCTAGTCATTAAAGTGTAACTCAGGTTTATATTTTCTCAATGTGAACATGTAATGAAGAGGTCATATAATTTATCCCATCAATCCTGTAAGTATAAGGCTGGAATGATATTAACCACATACCCATGGCCTTTGGATCAGCCTTTGGATCAGAGAATGGATTCTCTTCTACTTGTTTCTTATCATGGTCTTGCTTCTGTGTGTCTGAGTCACTCTGAGGGGCACTCTGAGGGGCACCAGGCCCTCCTCCGAGGAAGTCTCCAAAGCTATCATCATCACCTTCTGATGGTAGGGCTTGTGACCCAGGCTCCACTTTCAGTTCAGTTACAGGATGTACAACAGACTCTAAAATGTTCAAACCAGAAATACAGAAACGCTAAGAGACTGAAAACTCATTCGGATTATGATGTGATATCTGTCATTTCATGTGCTTCATTGAGCTTCAACAAATTTCTTATGTTACATTTTAGAAATTTTTAGTTATTTTTTAAATAGGTTTGTGATGCATAGCTTCATCTGAGCAGCAGCTAACCAATTTGATTGGTCTTTTTGAGAGGCTCCTTACAGAGACTGCGGGGTGTTGCTAGCTGTTAACAATTATCTTTTAATAATAATAATAATATTTTAAAGTCCACTCCAAATTTTATTAGGTTAAACCGAAAGGGACTTTTTTTTTGCCCAATTGATAATGAGCCCGGCAGCCACTGAGCAGCGCCAGATCAACGTTACTCTATCCCTTATTGTTGAACGCCAAACAAGGTAGCAGCAACTCCCGTCTTTTAACGTCTTTGGTATGACGCGGCCGGGGTTTGAACCCACGACCTCCCGGTTGTGAGGCGGACGCTCTACTGAGCCAACACACCGGTTTGATATCTGAACTGGCTATTGTAAGTAATTGCACAATATACAGTGTCTATATAATAATTGTATTGTTCCCAAACCTGAATTTGAAGGGGCATGGAGAAACTCCCCAAAGTCATCTTCTTTAGTTTGACCCCCGCTAGATGTCAATGGTGCAGCCTTCTGAAATCCACTGAATCCATCATCCATACTTTGAGAATGAATCACGGTGGGTGTAGCACCAGCTGGAGGATTCTGTGGTTGCCTAGCACCTAAAACCACACCCTGCATTCCAGGATGATGACCTTGTGGAATAAAAACCAACCGATTGCACAGGCATGCCTGGAATAACAAGAAGCCAACAAGAAATAAATCTATGCATTTACCAACACTTCTCTGGTGACACGTCCATATTGCCAACAGGGTATCGGCCATACTGCCAACAGGATATCGGCCATACTGCCAACAAGAAAATAAATCTATGCATTTACCAACACTTCTCGTGACACGTCCATACTGCCAACAGGGTATCGGCAATACTTACGAGATACATATAATGTCTTTACATGGAATGACAATTTGGATTTAAGCATTAGATACTATTGATAATCTTGTTCGTGAATATAAAAGACTTCTGAAATTATTATTGGCTACTTTTGCTGTTCAATTTTCATGTTCATGTACAGGTGTACAGTACATGCAAATATCATATAAAAAATATCAACTTTATTCATCCATGTATTTTCATTTTCACTGTGTGGAGGATGTCTGCAATTCCTCGAAATGGACACAATAAATCTTCTTGAAACTTGTACATTTACTTGGGCTTGGAAGGAACTGATCTAGTAACACTTTTGATGTCATCAGGTTATTGTGATGCCATCTGTATGTAATTTTGTCAATAAATTAGCATCAAGAAATTGAAACACATCTTTTAACAGAAAGTCTCTGCTACTCGTATTACGCATGATCAGAGACTATGTCATCATCTGCAATTTTGTGTCAATAAACATACTTGTGTTGTCTGTGCAAGACAGCACCTATGAATTTAAAAAGGCTCAAAATTTAACATTTTGAATTTGTTTCAAAACACTCAATTACCATGTTGATAATGTATTCCTGGTGCTTGGACCATGCTCGGATTCTGTTGAGTTGTGGTGTCATTAAGCTCTTAGATAAGAGGTCTCCCATGTCAAGGCTCTTGGATCCCATAGAAGACCTCCCACCAGAAGAGAACTCCTTCAACTTTCTCTTCTGTTCTTCTCGAAAACGATCCTTCCTCTCTTGCTCCTCTTTCTTTTTCTGTTCCTCCAACATCTTCTTTTGTTTTTCTGCATATTTCCTACCAAAAAAAAAAATACCATTAGGCTTGGGGATCCCTCTTCATCTTCAAACTCTCTCAAACACTCATTCTTTGCATGTTGCTGATAACATGAAACATCACAATCAAACTTCCAAGTAATACAGGTATTATGGTTAATATGACAATCTCTGCTAATCGTCTGTTCAATAGATTAAGCAGAGATTCTATTTCAATCATTCATTTTACTTACTAGAAATGTTCAGGATACTGTACATGTCGTATTTCAGCATGACAATAATTACATCATTTGATAAATGGAGCGAATAAAGAGCAAAATCTAGTAAATTAATGAGGCTAAAACTTCCTTTCTCTCTTCTCCTTCTTCTTCTGACTCCCATTCTTTACTTTCTCTTCCTATTTCTCCTTTTTTTCGCATCCATCATCCATATCATTTCATTGCTTTTGTCTGTATATTTTGCTTTTAATTATTATACTTCTACCTTATTATAAAAGACACTGTGTCAAAATTATTTTGAGGAACTTAAATTCTACAAGCTACACATGTACGTATATGCTCTTTATTAAGTTCTTTTTTTCATATGTAATTTCGAAATTATTTAGTATGCAATACAAATTATTTGCTCTGAACAAATACGATGTGTTAATTTTCTTTAGTTCTTCATTTACAGTAAAACACAGTTTCAATATTGTTACCAGATAGAATCATCCTCTATGATACAATTTTATTACCACGGTTTAGGTCAATGTTCTCAAATGGTACCCAGATCGTGAAAACAAGGCTAAAAAATCCAAAAATTTCATGGAATTGACCTTTTGACATACTAATCTATTCAGTTTGTCTCCCTATGATGTGGCATGTTACCACCAAGTTTTAAGTTCATGCCTCCAATGGTTATGAGATATCATGTAAACAGGGCTAAAACCTTAAATTTCAGAAATTGACCTCTATGACAATCAACTTTTGACCTATTTACCTCAAAATTGAATCAGATCGTTGTTTGAAGTTCATATTTCAAATGGTTTTTGAGATATCAGGCTAAAAAAAAGCAGGACAGACAGACAACCCAAAAGCATTATGCATCCAGCAACAACCCAGGCTTCCTTTTTTCATTTGAAATACCAGGTTCCCTGAATTACATGCACACTTACTTGAGTTGTTCTGGTGTCATATTCTGCTGAGTCTGGATATTCTGCTGACCAATGCCAGGTATGATCCCTGCTTGCTGACCAACTCCTCTAGTCATCATACCTGGCTGGATTACCCCTGCTTGACCAATGAATGGACCTTGCTGCATTACCATCTGACCATATCCAGGTGTTGGCTTTAAAGAAAAATACAATTCCTTTAATAGTAAATAATATGTTGACATCTCGTTCCACATCACAATCTATGAGGTGAAGTGACTGAACATGCAAAGGAAGTTTGAAACCCCCTTAGTCTTTATATTCTATTCATCAGTCAGCATTGACTTTGCTAATCTTTCTGAAATATCATATTCTGCTTTCCAAAGTCAACACAAATCACCACTGGATTTACAAGACAACTAGACTATGACTGAGTATTGAGTTAATGTAAATAAAAACAATGGTAATGCAATGGGTTCTAATTAACATGCAAAGGTGACAACTCTCCTCTACACAGGGCTTTATTTATTTATTTATTTATTTATTTCTGATCTTTTGACAGGGTAGCCCATTCACCAGCAAGTAGTGGTCTTCCATGGGGCCCTGAATGAACATATTTACATCGTTTATAACATTTATACAGAACAGTTACAAAAATAATACTCGTTTGCAAAATTAACATATATCATTAACCTAGTAAGCAGTAATGTCAATAGGAAAATATTAATTTCATGTAACATTCTACCAGAGGGATGAAATGTTTTCCACTGCAACATAGCCTGTGTCTATGAAACAGGGGAGGGGCACATAACACACAATGTAGGCTTCAGTCACCAATCTGGGTTGGATTCAAACCCACTATCTTAGGTTCGACAAGCAGTGCAGACGTACTACTGTATCAGGGTTTACCCATGTTCCCCTACACTTCCACAAAGAGTACATGTACAGTAATTGGGTTCTTAACCTCTTTACATGTAGGTGGTGATTCTCCTACACACAAGAACTCCATTTAACATCCTATCAGAGGGATAGAGTGTTTTGCTATTGTAACCAGCATGCATGTTTATTAACACACAATGCGGACTGCAGACATCCATCTAGGCTGACTTCGAACCCAAGATCATTAGTATGACAGGCAGATGATTTATCAGCTGAGCAAACCTTCCCTCTGCTCTTTTCCTTTTTTTTTTTAAACCGTGTGATTTGAAAAGTAGTTTTTACATCACAGATTGTTTTTGTTTTTTAATTATCTCTCACTTACGTAAATTCCTGCAACAGGCTGACTATGATACATGTGGGGAGCCATTCCCCCAGTCTGTCCCTGTGGTTGATGTTGCTGAGGTGGCTGTTGTTGGTGCATCATATGAAAGCTCTGCTGCTGTTGCTGCTGAGGTGTACCCATTGCGAACTGTCCCTGGATATTGGTCATTCCACCAGGTCCTGGTGGTACACGATAGTTCCCTGAAGGCTGGGAGCCATAGGGAGGTCTGATTATAAAGAACATACATAAAATGATGGATGTGCATGCCATATGTAAGTACATAGCACAGCATTGGTGCCTATTACTTATTAATTTATCAGTAATACAACATGCTTGGTCAGAAAAAAACAATTGAAATTGACTGAGTTTTAGACAAAAATTGTCAAACACAGACATAAAATCATAGAAAATGTAACTTTAAAATTTCAATCCAAGCATTTTGTTTAACATTGCCAAAAACTTAACAAGAAAATTAAAATACATACAGGTGTATAACAATTAACATGTGCAGAAAATACCAACAGAATGGCTGAGAGGTTTGATTCTAAGAAATACAAAGAGATTAGTAATAGTATTATACTTATTAGCATTGAGTGGTGAAGCCTGGGAGCAAGAGGGGATGGATGTATATGGGACGTTGAGGAGCTTGATAGGTTTTGTTATCTTGGGGATACAATCAACAGCGGTGGTGAATGCGAAATTACATTCACTTGGCAAGAAGATGCAGGTTGTGGGTTAATGATGTTTAATAACTTACAAGAGCGTCTAGTATAAAAAGGTGCACCCAAGGGAGTTTACTAAATTCAGTGAACTACGTGTGTGTGCAACTGTGCATAGTTTAGTACACTACAGCAATCACTATTATTATTAATATAAAGACAGCATCAAAGTGGCAATGCAAAATCAGGCATTTTCATGTACGTCGCATGCATTTGCATTTGCAGATGAACCAATAATGCTCAGAGGTCAGCGTTTTTGTAATGAAAAGCTACAGTCACAAGGATTTGTACAAACGATGTGAATCTCCCTGTTCGTAAGATTAAGAATTCCCAGAGTTTGTAAGAGATTCATAGATGGGGCAGTCTAGTTTGTTATGTCCTTCTTACTCACGGCGTTCATACAAACGCCGTTTAATTTTGATGGTTGTATGTGTAACTCATTAACTGACTGCATTCTCAAGTCTTTCTTAAGAAGATCTTACAAATGTTGTGTACCCTCCCTAGACTATCCCCAATCCTTACCCTAACCTTAAAATTTAAATCCGGCCCCAAATAATTTAAGTATGTAGTTCTAGAATCTACTTAGGCCAGCACTTGCATTGTGCAGCGGTTTGCCATTAAACCTTTGAAAAAGTGAATTACTAATATCAATGTCTTTCCGAAAAATACTCCAAAAATAACAAGAAAATTGACACGAAACAGGTAATAAACATAACAACCTTTAACTCATGATCTTTATTTAAACATTGATGAATATTTACTTCATTTTGGGTATGTTTTGGTGGGGTATCTCCACTACGGAGTTACGGGTCAAATTTTGGATAGTCTAGACTTCTGAACAAGCGCCCTGCTACCTAGATACTACTTACAGCTTTATTTTATTTGCAAACCTGTCCAGAAAGAAATAGATGAAAATGTGAAGAAAATTGAAAACTGTATAGCTGATGTAAGGAACTGGATGATTGAGAGTCGCTTAAAACTAAATGATGCAAAAACAGAATTCATTTTGCTTGGCAACAGTAGACAGCTCAGTAAAATTAAGGTTTCTCATGTTCAAGTTGGTTCTGTCCCTGTATCTCCTGTACATCAAGCTAGGAATCTTGGTGTAATATTTGATTCTGCCATGTCGCTCGAAACCCATATTTCAAATTGTGTTAAACTGGCCAATTGTAATCTACGTAATATCCGTGCAATTAGGCAATATCTCTCACCTCAATCCACCCAACAGTTAGTACATGCTTTTGTTACTTCGCACCTTGATAATTGCAATTCATTACTCTTTCGACTACCCGCCAACCAAATTAACCGATTGCAAAAAGTTCAGAATGCTGCTGCTCACCTTGTAACTAACACCAGAATATCATCACATATCACTCCTATCTTGAAATCTCTGCACTGGCTCCCTGTTCAACAGCGTGTGATATATAAAATTCTACTCTTAACCTAATGTGCACTAAATGATCTAGCTCCAGAATATATTTCATCCCTTCTATCACCCCACTCTGCAGGTCGTTCTGGTTTACGTTCATCACATAATATTAGACTTAAAGAAATACGTACCAAAAGAAATTGGGGGGATAGAGCATTTGCATCAGCAGCTCCTTCTTTGTGGAATAAGTTACCTTTCTCTATTCAGACGGCCAACACTCTCTCTACTTTCAAAACTGGGCTTAAAACTCACCTGATGCTCAATGCATATTGTTAAATTTCAATGTTCTTTTTATACAATGCATGCAAAACAAACAATCGCACTGTGCCACATTGTATGTACCTTGGCACCATGAAGTTGTATGATCTAATGCAAGTTAACATTTAATATTTCTTTAATCTTAAGTATGTTAAATATTAATTTAAATTATTTGTATGCGCCTTGAGCATCTCTAGAGATGGATATGTTGCGCTTTATAAATATTGTTATTATTATTTATTATTATTACCTAGGCCTAGATCTAACCCTAACCCTAACCCTAACAATTCGCAACTATTCTTGTTCCAGGCTTTTGGGCGCTAGTGTAGTTCTGTATCCTTTTTTTTTAGCAGTTTAATATCCATGCTTAGCAAAGGAATTTTAGCCCAATTCAATTGTTTACTAATTTTAATCATAATCATACATGTGTATATTGCATTTTCCATCTGAATTTGGATCACATCCGACATCGGGAAACCTCCATTTAATTTAGGGCTTCGATGTCAACGACGTCGCTCAGTACCGTCTCAACGCTATAGGCCCGCACCTCAAACTGAAGCTGTCAGTCCAAAATTATGCAAACTTCTTGCATTTTATGGTAATACGCGCATGCACGATACCATAACCCATACAAGAAGTTTGCATAATTTTGGACTGATAGTGATAGAGTAAAGGAGCCGGTAATAGGCCAGCTCCAGTTTTCGGCTGATTGGTTGGATGCAAGGTAAAATCACTCTAAAATACATCGCATAATAGCATAACACATATCCCACACATACCATACCATGCCAGTGTCACTGAAGAACCACATTTGCAATGAAAAATATATCCTAAAATATCACATTTTAGCGATGTAATCGGCGGTCCCGCTACCCGAATCTGAAAAATCGAGTATTTTACGCGTGTCTGTAAGAAATATGGGGACCATAAAATGAGCTTTATTTCAAGTATTTTTCAGATTTAGAGCCCGATTTTGTGCTAGTCGCAAGCTCAAAAGTATCTCATCGCATGTATTAAATCAATGCAGCCGCACACCGCAACGCACACACGATATCTCTGTCTAATTCAGATTCCAACTTCCAATCACCGCTGTGCCCGTCTTCGGCCAGGCGAGCACTCGGGAGCTCCGGCGTGGGATACCTGCTCCGCCCGCTTGTGCTGTACATCAGCGCGGAAACGCACGGCGCGCGCGAGCGCTTCCTATTGACTTTGTACATGAGGCCGTAAACTGAAACGCTCGGCCGATAACAGCTAGGCTCCAAAACAGTGAAAATTGAAATGAATATTGTCATGGCAATTCGTGATTTTTTTCTGGGATTCTTTTTTTGTTTAAATAATAATAATATTTGCTTCATGATTTGAACAAAAAATGATAATAAATAGGAAGTAAAGGGTCCTAAAAAAAAGGATTTTGTCTTAAGTGGCTGAAAACGGGCTCCTTTACTCTACAACTGTAGACTAGCTTCAGTTTGAGTTGCAAAGCTGTAGACTAGTAGAGACAGTACTGAGCGACGACGTCGACATCGAAGCCTTAAACGGAGGCTTCCCGATTTCGGATGTGATCCAAATTCAGGTGGAAAATGTGATATAGATCTAGTCTAGGTCTATGATTATGATTAAAATTAGATCTAGTGAAAAATTGGGCTAAATTTCCTTTGCCAAGAATGCATGAAACTGCTAAAAAAATGGATACGGAACTAGATCTACACTAGCGCCAGATTTTGTTTCTACTTTGGGCAGAATCCGGATAATTACCCTTAACTTCTGTGATATCATACAGGTGCAGATGACATTTAATTCTTGATCTTGCTAGTCAATCCAACGACACTACCGGTAAAGAGACAACATCATTCCCGATCCCGCGCCCGGTCCGGCCGGCGGCCCCGCCCCCGCCCGACGACCTAACATTTGTCTAGACTAGTCTACGTTTCTTTGCAAAAAGAGGCTTAGAGCGGTAAAATAGATCTTGAAAATTCAACATTACCTGTAAGACATAGTAAAATAACCGCTCCCTGGCCTAAGAAAATGAAGTATGGCCGATTTCCTGTACAGTTGGTAGTACAATACCGCTCAATCGTCAAAATTACGTTCCGGTTGAAAATGTACGTACCGTAGGTCTACCGTAAAGTACCCGTAAACAACACATATGGCGAGTAGTCGCAGTACAGTGTATACTGTGCTTATCCGTCTACATAAGGTTTTGGGACAGTTCGACCAATTTACAGCTCGACCATTCATAACCCGACCAACTACCCTGGACAACTTGACCAGGTTGCGTTACGTTATCAGGCGCGGTCGGGTCATGCATAGAGAAAAGTATTATTGGTGTCAGGTCAGAAAATTAGAGCCTGATTGAGGTAATGTCAGAGGTAAAAATGTAAGTGGTAAAATGACATAGATAGACAGATATTAGTTTGTCATTATCACAAAATAATTACTCAGCAGCTGTAAACGATGGTCAAGAACGAATTGCGAAGATTAGGAAAGGACGCAATCAATGAAGGATCTTAGGTGCCAAAAATGGGCAGGGTCCACATGGTACAGCCAACGGCGACGGTTTCCCTGCAGTGTCGATAGAATCAGGAAAATAATTTTAATTTCTGTACCAAAGAGCAGTAGCATACGCAGGATTTTTTCACGGGGGCCCGGGGGGTTAACATTTTTAAATCGGGCCGAAATTTTCGCAACGACTCAGCCAGCCGCTGAATAAGCGGGGAAGGGAGGGGGTATAAGAGGACATATTTTTGTTTTCTTCTCAGCAAAGCCGCTGAATAAGCGGGGGAGGGGGGGTAAGAGGACATTTTTTTTTTTGGAGTCCCAAAACTATTTCGCCACGACTCAGCCAGCCGCTGAATAAGCGGGGAGGGGGGGGGGGGGTTAAGAGGACATATTTTTTATTTTTTTGTTGGTCCTAAACATTTCGCAATGACTCAGCCAGCCGCTGAAAAGGCGGGGGGGAGGGGGGCAGGAGGACATATTTTCTTCTTTTTTGGGGTCCCAAAATTTGAAAATTTGACAGATCGAAATTTTGTTCCGTCCCGGGGGGGGGGGGGGGGGGGGGTAAGGTTACCTTTTTTAGGTCATCAAAAAACGACACAAAAATCCAAAGGGGAGGGGGGGGGGTTCTTCCAAAATACACACATAAACAAAACCAAAGTGGGGGGGGGGGGCGGGGGTTAACCCCCATAACTTCCCCCCCCCCCCCCCGCTCCCCCTGCGTATGCGCCTGCCAAACAGTATCATCATTTCAAGATTTTATTTCTTAAACTCAACTTGGACGTACGCTTTAGGCCGGGGTGTCGATACCGGGGGGGATGGGGGGATATACCCCCCCCCCCAATATTTGAGGTGGGGGGGTGGCCTGTACAATCATCCCCCCCCCCAATAATTCACCATCAACAAAAAAAAAAAAAAAGAGAAAAATAAATGATGAGAGCCCGATTAAAGTAGTTAATGGTTATTGCTCGCAAGATGACCATCAATATTCACATTTTGCTATCTCATTTTCATCATACATACATATATACTAAGTAAATGAGACAACCGTATATGAGACAAGAATAAATTGAATTCTCGCTCATACGGCTTCATCAGGAATTGATAAATTTATTCAATTTGTTCAATCAACAGCATCATAGAAATGCAGTGCGCCAAATGCAAAGACGCAGCGTTAAAAAGCAACGAGCTAAATGTTAAGCGCGTGAGCGAAAAAGTAGCAATCTGCAATACATATCAGACAATCCTGGACAGTGTAAACATAGATGAACTCTGTGACGAACTCGTGATGAGATAGGAGACAAGGAGAAAGCTTCCGCGCTTCGCGCGGGGGCGGGGAAACTGAATTCAGACAAGGATTAAGAGTCGAGAATGGTACATCGAATCGTCTTCTTTCTTTGATAATCTAATGAAACGTCAGAGCTTCCGCGCTTCGCACGGAGAATGGCTGAATTCAGACAAGGATTAAAGGTAATACAAAGTTTTGGTAAATTTTGAAAATTGGGTGGATAGTGACTCTTTACAATTTTGATATAATATTTGGATGCCCCTGTGGATGTATTATAAGCACTAGAAAGTTTAGCCCCTAAAACACTCCTACTTTCGAGAAAAATTGAATATAAAAATTTACCGGTGCTCCCGGTAAATTTTTATAAATTTCACATAGCACCTACGGCTGTTCAATGGTAGCTACGACCATGAAAATCTCACAATATGTAGTTGTGATACATAATTTTCAAACGGGAATAGCTAATCGGTCGATTTTAGTCAATAAACATTGTTTTATAGGTTGGTTGGTTGGTTCTTCGTTTAGATGGCGCTCTTCAATCTCAAAGATTATTTGCGCCAGTCAATTTCGTGTATAGCTTTGGCGTGGGCTTCGGAAATCAAGCCCACGAGCGACTTTCCTTGGTGAAATGAAATTAATAGTGATATGGTTTTATATAAAAAAATAAATAAAAAAAAAAAAAAAGCTGCAATATTAAAATTGCATAAAATGCACATAAAAGGCGAGATGGGAGTTAGTTGCAATTGTTCATGGAAAAACCGCAAATACTTCATTTTATATATTATTACAGGATCGACATAAGTTAAGGGGATCCCTGATAGCTTTAAAAGCTATCTAAAACGATTAGTATCGTATATGTAACCCAATAATTCACGAGTAAAAATTGGGTTAGACATCAATAATTGTTTCAGATTGGGGTTGTTCAATTTAATCCTTTCTTTTAAGAGACGTCTATCTTTGTCGTATTTTGTACAATAGAAAATAAAATGTTTAATTGTTTCATCTTCTTGACAAACTTCACAAAGACCAGTATCGTGTTGGTTAATTTGAAAAAGGTAATAATTTAAACTACAGTTACCTACTCTTAGTTGTTGTATCAAGCATTCTTCTCTGCGAGATAGGCCTTGTCTATGTATGGGCTTTGAAACGTCGCTATGCAAAGCATATAAAAATCTACCGTGTTCTGCATTGTCCCATTCTGCTTGCCATAATTTGTTATAATGGATCAAACGAGAGGCTGCCAATTCACTTCTTGTATTTGGTATAACTATGTCTATACACCTTTTCATGGCTCCTTTTTTGGCAGCCCGATCTACGATCTCATTGCCCCTAATATCGCAATGTGACGGAATCCATTCAAAAGCAACACAAACATCCTTAAACTGCAAAATATTAATTATGGATAAAATTTCATTTACAATAGCACATCTAATAAAGTATGAATCGATCATTTGTAAAGCTGACAAAGCGTCGCTAAAAATTACCACCGAAGAGGATTCAATAAATGTATTAATCCACTCTAGTGCCATTAGTATGGCCACTAGTTCTGCTCTCATAATACAGACATGGGATAATCTAAAAAATTCACCACATTATAATGAGACACATAAAACGCGGCTCCTGTCTTCCCATCCTCGAGTTTAGAACCATCTGTATATATATGTAAAAACCCATTCCATGAATTTCCAATGCTATCTAGAACAATCGATTTTATTTCAAATGGAGGCATTTCCTTTTTTTGCACTTTGCCATGGTGTTCGAAAGACACTTGTGGTCGTGCTAACCGCCATTCTGGGATTTTCGGCAATAAGTTGGTTTGCCCTTCCACCACTACTTCGTCTCTAAAGGATCGCAGTTTAAAAGGTCCTTCTCCTATCTTCCATTCTAAGTTATTTAAATCATAGTCATCACCCAATACTTCTTTTGTTGGGTGGTTTAAAGTACTAATAAGACAGTAAATAAACTCGAAAGTTATCATTTAACAACCTTCTACGATATCTCAGAGGCAGCTCCCCGGTCAAAACTTGTAAAGCCTGCAAGGACACATTGTGTATTGTGCCTGTAATAATCTTTAAGGCTCTGTATTGGATAGAGTCAAGTTTTTTTGTTAAAGATATACAAGCAGAATCATACATTTCACTCCCATAGTCCAAAATGGATAGGATAAGTCCTTTATAAATCATCATCAAAATCTCATACTTACTTCCCCAGGGGGTGCCGGAGACACAACGTAGCAAGTTTATTCTTTTCTTACATTTATCAATGATAGAATCTATATGGACAGACCAAGTTAAATTGGAGTCAAACCTCACACCAAGGAACTTATACTGCTCGCATATAGGTAGATTATGTCCTTTTATTTGTAGAAGAATATCTTTCTTTTGTTTGTTGGTAAAGACTAATACTGCAGATTTGGTAGGGGAAACGTTTAACTTCCACGTCCAACACCATATCTCAAGCTCATGCAGGGCCTCTTGTAATTTCCTGCGGGCCAGCTCTAAATCCTTATTTGAACACCAGATTGCAATGTCATCAGCATAGCAAGATAATTTAACATCACTTACATTTATCTTGAGATCATTTAACATTAAAGTAAATAATAAAGGACTTAATGAACTTCCTTGCGAGATTCCATTTTCTAACGTGTAGTGGCGAGACATATAGTTATTTATCCTCACATTAGAAATCCTACTCAATAGAAATGCTTTTATAAAAAGTAACATTTTTCCACCAATGCCTAAGATAGATAATTTTCTTAGTAGACCTGTTTTCCATAGCGAATCATATGCTTTTTCTAAATCAAGAAAGACCGCTACGGTATATTTTTTACTTTTCAAGGATATATGTATGTCCGTCTCCAATCTCACTAAGTGATCTTTGACATTCCTATATTTGCGGAAGCCAGATTGAATAGGATTTAATAGTCTGTTCTTTTCTAGAAACCACGTCAGGCGATTTTTTATCATTTTTTCCATAATTTTAGAGAATGTTGATATCAACGAAATCGGCCTATAAGAGGTCACTTGAGTCGGATCTTTTCCGGATTTCAAGATTGGTATTTGAATAACCTCATACCACTGATGTGGAAAAAGTGAGATTTTCCAAATGTCATTATACAAGTTTAATAAATACACGAGTGCCTTGTTCGGCAAATTCTTAATCATAATTAAATAAATATCATCCTTACCGGATGAGGAGTTTTTCATCTCCTTTAAAACATTCCCCATTTCACTCATGTTAAAGTCATCATTGATACAATCATCATCATTTGTTGAAGAATTATTGTACAAGATATTTTCGTTTTCATTTTTAGTTACGGAAAGTGATTCATCAACCGATTTAAAATAGGTTGCCATTGCAT